AAAAAAGAAAAAATCCAAAAATACATCATAGCAGCGTGAGACTCTCAGGACCAGAGCACAGAGGACAGACCTTACCGTTGTGGCCTGGAAAAGTCTGCTTTCAACAACAATCAAAAAAATGCTTTAAAAAGCACACAGCTCTGTCTCCTCTCCCGTGGTCAGAGGGTTGCACAACCAAAGCAAAATCGAGACTGACACGCGACAATGAAGTTAGGAGCTAACTGATGTCCCTGGTTTATTGAACGACAGTCGGGTTCGAAAGCATAAGGAAAGGACACCCGGAAAAGAGAGGAACGATGGCTTAGAAATAAAAACCGGACACGCAGTGGCAGCTCACCGGAGCCACACACGTGTTCACGCTGAGACACAGACAGCAAAGGATTCTGAGAACCGGGAAGGTAACGTCGGAGATGCCACAAAACAAAGGCCACCGAGGGGACATCTGCTGCCTGAGTTTCCCGTACCGGAGCAGAGGGATACAGACCCCAGAACGTTTCCTTAAAAAAGAAAGTGCAGGTTGTGTAAATTTCTTCCACCTTAATTTTCTAAAGACGCACACCCACCAGGGACAGACATAAGGACAGAATTCTGCGCCGCCTGCAGCCACAGGAAGTCACCCAGATGTGGCAATGCAAGTGTGTTTCCTTTAAACCTCTGCGATCCCATCGGATCTGAGGGGTCCAGAGTCACTATGACCGGCGGCTGAAGCGGGTGGTTCCTGAGCGGCATCCCTGACTACATCCCTCCCCACACGCCGACTGCGCCAGCCGGGCAGTCTCGATGCACACACAGAGCTGTCACCCATGGGAATCAGATCTGCCCAGCCTCTTGGGTCAAGGCAGTGGCTTGCGGGAAGGGTATTTCCTCCAGCTCAAAAAGTAGTTCTTGGCCGGGTGTGGTAGCTCACGCCTGTAATCCCAGCACTCTGGGAGGCTGAGGTGGGAGGATCACTTGAGGCCGGGAGTTCGAGACCAGCCTGAGCAAGAGCGAGACCCCGTCTCTACTAAACATAGAAAAAATTAGCCCGGCATGGTGGTGTACACCTGTAGTCCCAGAAGTTTAGAAGGCTGAGGTGGGAGGATGCATTGAGACTAGGAGTTCCGGACCGGCCTGGGCAATACAGTAAGACCCCATCTCTACAAAAAAAGTAAGAAAAATTAGTCAGGCATGGGGTGCACACCTGTAGTCCCAGCTACTCAAAAGGCTGATACAGGAGGATTGCTTGAGCCTAGGAGTTTAAAGTTGCAGTGAGCTACGATGACATCACTGTACTCTAGCCCGGGTGACAGAGCAAGACTCTGTCTCAATAAAAAAAAAAAAAAAAAAAGTAGTTCTCAATGTTGGAAAATGTCACCTGTTTCCCTGGACCGTCAGACAACTCACAGTGACTCCCCCTTCCCAAGGTAAACCTATCCGTGGGCAATATTTTTAAGTAATTGCACCCATGGTATTGAGTTTAAAAAAGACAGAACTGACAAATCTTTTCCCGTAGTCAAATCTAGAACACCCCTGTCTACGCCAAAAAGCTGGTGTGCACAGATTTTAAAACAACACTTCAAAGGAGTGGTCTTGCTCTCACCCACCATGTCCCCCTCCAAAAAAAAAACTGATTCTCGGGAAACCGGAGCACTCAGGCATCACACACGAAAGCAGCAACCTCAGGACCCTGAGCTAGCGGGCTGTCATGGACCGCGTCTACAAAGGGAATAATTCCCCCACGGGGGAAAGACTCATTGCCGGTATCATGCAGCAAACATAACACATTTGACACCTTTTTTGTTTTCTGGGTTTTTTTCATTTTTATAAGTGTCTGCATTGTATGCTCATGGTTCACGCTTTTTTGCAAACATAAAACATGTCTCTCTTTCCAGGAGGGGCATTCTGGCCACAGAAGCTCTTCCACATTTCCCACAAGCAAAGCTCCCGCTCCCGTGAAAATGTAAACATGGAGGCGGCCGACGACACACCGCTCCCATCCCGCGTCGGAAGGCGCCGGGGAACGGCTGGTTCTACCCCGCACCCGGAATCTTCTTGGGTTTATTTCTGAACCCTCCAAGGGAGGACTGGCTCCGTGAATTATGCAGATGTCCTAAGCGGCTGGGAAGGGAAAAACGTTTGCGATGCCACGTGGGAATCCGTGGAGAGCAGGGCACGGGAACGCAAAGCAGCTTCTCTGCCTTCTTGCGTCTCTTTGTTTTTTCTACGCCTTTTCCTCTTGGTTTCAAAGACCTCAGATGGGCTCTGAGGTTCAACACCAAGCTGGGGGGGCCGACATTTACAGCAAAGCATCCAACGGGCCACCCCGCGGCAAGGACATCTAAGAGGAGACGAGAGGCGCCCTCCCTACAGGAAGCCGCCATCCCGGATGCCGAAAAAGCCACCGCTGACGCCGTCCCCCAAAGAGAACACCTGCTCCTGGTCCAAGCCCCACTCGCCCTCGTCCTGGTCCTCGAGCTCGGCCTCCGCCCCGCCGCCGCGGGCGTTCTCGTACAGGAAGACCTGCTCGTCCACGTGCGCCGGCGCCAGCCGGTTCCTCTTGGCGCTGACCACGTTGGCCGCAGAGCCGAAGAGGCGCTCAGGCGGGATGCGGGTGGCCGTCACGCACCAGTACTTCTGCAGCACCTTGGGCAGCAGCGGGAACAGGGCCAGGCGGTCAGACCACCACTTGAGAGGGTCCTCGCTGAGGCCGAGCACCTTCTGCGACTTGAAGTTGCTGAGCTCCTCCACCACCTGGGCGTGCCACTCCTCCTGGTCCTCCACGCCGCCTGTCTGGCAGAAGATCTCGGCCAGCATGTTGTTGATGACGCTGGTGGGCGGAGGCGTGGGCGCGAGAGCCAGCTTCTTCACGGGAGGCTCCTCGGGCAGAGGGAACATCTTGTCCTCGGCCGGCCGGTAGCCGCCATCTTTGACCTTGTCCAGGAGGCCTTTGGCTTCTTCCACCACGCGGTTCTCCACCTGCTGCCTCTCGAAGGCGGAGAGGAAGGGGAGCCTCTTGTAGCGGGGATCCAGGAAGGTGGCGACATTCAAGAACATGTCGATCTCGGGCGTCTCCTGGTAGGTCTTGGAGAGCTCCTTGGCGATGACCTCTTTGGCCATGCTGATCTCCTTGCAATCTGTCTCCTTCACGTTTAGTGTGGTATTCAGCAGCATGTGCAAGAGCGGCTTCACCATGCTGATGGTGGGGTATTTGGAGGCGGACAGCATCTCAGCCACTTGCTTGAAGGGCTGCAGGAGCTCCACCAGTCCCTCAATGGTGGCCCACTCGGTGGCTTCCAGCATCAGGTGATGGTTGTTGCTGTCCTCCACCAGGACGCCGGCGATGACGAACTGCTGCTCCCTGAGCCTCTGCAGCATGGCCAAGGTGCTGCCCCACCAGAAGACGCGGTCGCTCACCAGCATGCAGTGCGCCATGCTCTGCTGCTTCTGCTTCTCGTACAGCATGTACATGGCGACCGCGGACTGCTGGAAGTACTCCACCAGCTTGCGGCAGCGCGACAGCAGGCCGCCCAGCTTGGGCAGCTGGAAAGCCTGCTGGATGCCGGTGTTGAAGGTCTGTCCAAGGCAGGGCATCTGGACCGCTACGTCCAGCAAGGAGCATGCCTTCACAATGTCCTTGCCGTAGTCCGTGGTGGCCCCGAAGACCTTGGCACTGACGCCCCACTCGATGAAGACCTCGTAGAGCACCCGCGTGATGGTCTCCGCCGTGTTCTCCTCGGGTACCTCGAACGTCTTCAGGCACCTGGAGCCCAGGGACAGGCAGTTGGGGGAGCTGACGCCCAGGAAGTGGACGGCCAGCGTCACGTAGGCGCGGTTCTGGTTCTCGCTGCGCCACATGTCCGTGGAGATGCCGCACCAGGAGGTGTCGGTCAGCTCCTTGAGGATCGCGTCCCGGACGGCGCCGTACTTCTCAGGGATGGCCTTGCTGCAGATGTACTTCCTGCTGGGGACCTCGTAGCGGGGGTCGGCCGTCTTCAACAGCGCCTTGAAGGTGGGCTCGTCCACGATGGACGCCGGGTACAGCCCCTCGCAGATGAGCCCCACCACGGCGGCCGTCAGCTCCTGCTGCTTCTTGCTCTCGTGACCATGGCCAGACTTGACGGCCAGCGCGTCCGGCACTGGCTGCTGGGAGGACTCGGGCTTCAGCTTGGAGAAGGCGGTAGCGAAGGCCTCGCGCATCTGCTCCGTGTTGCTCTTGACAAACTCGCAGAACTCCTCGGGGTGGTTCTTCTCCAGGTGGTAGGACAGGTTGGAGGTGTTCCCGGAATACGCGATCTGAGCCATGCAGATGCGGCAGTAGATCTTCTTCCACTGCAGGATGCATCCTTCGGCGTTGGTGTCGAAGCCGAAATACTTCCACACCTTGCTCTTGGCGCGGGGGTGGGCCACCAGCTTCAGGTCCGCCTGGGAGCCGTCCACGCCTTTACCCTCCATCGCTTCCCCGCCGGAGCCCGCCTGCCGCGCCGCCGCTCATGCGTGGGGACCTGCTAAGAAGCAGCAAGACAAACACAGCGTGAGAAGGGACCCGGGCACGTGCGGGAGCCCTGCCGGGGAGCGGGCGGGCGGGCACCCAAGCTGCTCTGCTTTGAAGCAAAGGGCGTTCGCGGTGACCCGACAGGCCTGGCTTCTTTGCAGGTGGCTTTTGCAAAGCGGAGGGGAGGAGTATGACACGCGATCAAGCTCTTTCTTCCAGGTTAATCCTACACGGCAGCGACTCCGTACGTAAGAAAAGGCACATTTTTGCTTTCGAGTGTGGCATTTTCGAAGGGGAGCCTGCCGGAGCGCATTCCTTGGACCACGCACCTGTTCACTGTTTCCTGGCTCTGGGACGTCCGCCAGGCACCCACCAGGTGGGGGAGCCGGGTGTGACACTTTTGGGGAAAGTCTTTGCGTAGGGGAGCTCACAAGCGGTGTGGCAGACCCACCACCATCACCACTGAACCCCTCATCCCTGGGAGCAAGAATCTGTGTCAACCACCGCGGGAGATAGGTCACGTGCACTGAAGAGGCAAAAACGGAATCTCCATTTGGCTAAGGTGGTCTTTCATCTGGCTAAGAGGCAGTGACACCTTTCTCAAACTTTATGCTTTCTTTTCCTTTCTTTCTTTTTTTGGGGGGACAGTCTCGCTCTGTCGCCCCGGCCAGAATGCGGTAGCGTCATCATAGCTCACTGCAGCCCCCAACTCCTGGCCTCAAGCTGTCCTCCTGCCTCAGCCTCCCAAGTGGCTGGGACCACAGGTGCCACGACACCCAGCTAGTTTTTCTATTTTTAGTAGAGACGGGGTCTTGCTCTTGCTCAGGCTCGTCTCGAACTCCTGGCCTCTAGTAACCCTCCCACCTTGGCCTCCCAGAGTGCTGGGATTACAGTGAGCCACTGCGCCCGTTCAACCCTAATGCTTTCAAACGAAGCCATTTCGAACACCGCAGGCTCTGTTTTCAGCAGAGGGGCATCCCTGTTCTGTGACCACGTTTCAGCCACCACGCATGCCTCAATCCCTGAGGCCCCTCAAAGGGTCCACTGCATGCAGCCCCCCTGTGGGCAGAACACACCTTTGTTATGCACAGCTGCACCTGTGTGAACATCCCTGGGCCCTCGGTGTGGAGGTTTGCATGACCCAGACGCCAGCCCCTGGGAGTTCCTGTTGTCATGGAACACCCACACGTGCCTACAGCCACCATTCAAAGGCCAACTCTGTGACTGGGAGGCCCAAAAGGACAACAGGGCATTGCTAAAAGGTGCCAGTGAAATCTACAAGCTTCCAGTATAGCACTCAGGAGTTTAAATAACAAACTGCACCACCCACGCATTTTTCTCAGTGTTGGGAATATGTTCAGAGCTAAATCAGGCAAATTTCAATAATGTTGACAGAGCAGCAGTCCCCAACCTTTCTGGCACCAGGGACCCGGTTTCATAGAACACAATTTTTCCATGGACCGAGGCGGGCTGGGAGGCGGTGGGGGACAGCGAGAGCAGGGGATCGTTTGGGGATGATTCAAGTGCATTACATTTGTTGTAGAATTTATTTCTATTATTACATTGTAATATATAATGAGATAAGTATACAACACACCATAGGTTGGGAACCCCTGCTATAGAGAGTTGAATAGTGTACCCCCCTTTAAAAAAACTGCGTCCACCAGGTATGTGTGAGTGGAACCTGGTTTAGAAAAGGGGTCTTTGTAGATATAATTAAGTGAAGGATCTCAAGATGAGATCACTGTGCATTAGGTGGTCCCTAAACCCAATGACAGGAGTCCTCATGAGAGACAGCAGAAGAGACACAGACACAGAGGAGAAGCCACGTGGAGACGGAGGCAGAGACTGGAGTGACGCGGCCACAAGCCCAGGGACGCCTGGAGCCCCCAGGAGCCGGAAGAGGCAGGAAGGAGCCTCCCCTGGAGCCTGCGGAGGGAGCGCGGCCCCAAGACACCTGCGTCCCAGACTCCTGGGCTCCAGGACTGGGAGAGGACACATTCCTGTCGTCTTAAGCCACCCGGTGTGTGGCACTTTGCTAGGCAACCCCAGGACACGCAAACCAGCAGGATGAAACCACAAAAGGTATTATGAGTGTTAATGTCGCCTTCCATGACAGATGGGGTCTCAGAACACCCCCACATCCTCACGGACAGCCACATCCTGCCATGCCGGCTATCCGCCAGCGGTGTCTGCTTGAGGCTTACCAGGAAGGAACCGCAATGTGCCGGGTTCGCTGGGCGTCCCCGCAGCTGGGTGGCCACGCTTCCCAAGGGGGTGCGGGGGAGGATGGTTCCTCCAACACCCCCAGCGCCCCAGTCAGCACTAAGGCAGGAGCTGAGGGAAAGAGCTTCCGCGGGACGTGCAGGGAGAACCCAACACAACGTCCTCTCTCAGGACTTCTGAAAGCAGGAAAATCCCAAAACTGCGCCTTCTGCACTAGAGTGAGGCCAGGGTACCTGCAGGTGCAAAATGCAGCAAAGGAAAACCGAAAGAATCTGAACATGCCTCATTCTTTGTGCTGACACGTTAGCTTCTCAGTCCTACTCGAGTGCCCCAAGAAGGCTCTACCAGATCTTCCTATGACATCATCCCCATCATCACTATTATTTGGCCGAAAAACGTCCTGACGCCTGAAAAAAAGCTTTATGGTCTATTATGATTA